CCCGCCTCTCACTCCTCCTCCCTCCCAACCTTTGTTCTCCCGCTACTTTACCTTTGCCTACTGCCCTGTCTCTCTCACACCTGAAGAAGGCTCCCCGGCCGAAACGTTGTGTTCTCTTTCTTCTTCTTTTTTTTCAGCATGGAATAAACCTATTACTTGTTCCTTTGCAGCCCTGAAGAGAGCAGAGCTAGAGTACAAGTATAGACAACTGGGTTTACAGCCGACTGAGGAAATATGTAACAGCTACATACATTTCTTCTCCACTCAAAATTTCTAATTTTTAATTTCAGAATACATTTAATTTTTTAATGTCCTAAGTAATAGAAATGAGTGTACATTTAGTGTGATTTAATCTGGCACATTTAACCACTCCTTGGTGTAGCGATTCATAATTTTCCAAAAATTGAGGCGACCCTTTTACAGTTCTCATGGATAGTCCAAAAAGTCATCAGCCTTAGAACCTGACAGCTAAGAAATATTACAATCCACATGACGACTACATCAGCTTATATCAATAACATACATGACCCATCATTTACTTCAGGATTCTAAGATTTTTAACGTAAAAAAAAGCAGTGCCATTATAATTATTGTCCAACAGAGGGCGACAAAACATTCATAAGTACTCTGCAGCACTTTCAGAGTTTCTGTTCATCTTCAGTTCTCATATCCAGTAATTTCAGGACATAAATTGAAAACATTAAAAGATGACCAAAAATAAAAAAAACAATATTGTTTAAACAAACTTCACCAATTAGAGCGAAACACGAATTCATTAATCTTAAAGAAATTGATCTTTCATTAACAACACCCCTTACTTAAGGACTAAATTAAATAAATTGTTAATACAAAAACACATATATCTAAAGAGAGAGTTCCAAGTTTCATGCACTCCAGACAACTCTCATTTACAATTTACAACAATTACAATTACAAGTACCTCAGCAAGAGTTCAACGTATGAGCTGCCTAGGTGATTTCAGCAGCATAGCAAACAAATCACATTGAGAAATAGTAAAATGAGTGTGGATCCCATTTACTCAATGAAATGAAGACCAACTCCATTATCTTCTGAAAAGAGAATATAACTTATTTTAATCACATAGTCTTATAGGAGTACTGCTGTTTTCTCTGTAAGAATATATACAGCTTAGAAGGAGTGCAGAAAAACAGAGCACAAAAAAGAACTGACTAGATTTGTCAGTTTTGACAACGTAAAAGAACTCATTGTTGCACATCAGTGATGTCAGGACCTAAACTCAAAACTTCTGTACTATTAGAGTGCTGTACACACAGTACACATCTGTTGGTTTTCAGTCCAGCCCACCTTCATTAGATAAAACAAGCTTACATTATACTTGAAGATGCTTTAAGTCACAAATTTGTGATTTTATTTCACTTATACATTAAAGCAGTTAAAATTTCCATCATGTTTAAGAGCTGGGAACAAACAGCTCAAATTAATGTTATTATTATTAAATTAGTGAAGGGTTTGATGGTGTAACTGAGGGCTCAGCTGGAACAAAAACCAGCAGGTTTATAGGATCACTGGGACTGGGACCCACAAGATCAATGGGGGTTTCCAACACTCCTAGAATTCCCCTCAGCCCAGTGGCATTTATAGGTAGCCTTTAAATGAATCAACAATTTCTAAAGGTCTGGAACAATTAGTCTATAATCAATTAAACAGGTGGTCTGCTCAATTAAGTCATTTACAGATCTTTTTGGAACACAAATCAGAATCTTCTTCAGCACCCAAGCCAGAGTTCCCTTCATTGAGGTTTGACTTGTCAAATTGATTTTCCGCTTAAACAAGTGTTCCTAATCTTGAGATGACAGATGATTTTGGGGGACCAATAAGAATAACTAGAGTGGGGCTTTCCGGGGCCAGAACTGGAGACCCCTAGACTGCTTTAAACTGCATTAAAGAGAAACTGCCTCATTCGTGCATAAAATTGATATTGACTGATACAAGTCATTCATTATAAGAAACTGGTTTGCTTATTTTCCTTCTGTTCACATACTGTAGGTTTTTGTCCTCCCACCTCCCAAAGACATGCTGGCGAGGTGTGATCAGCCCTTCTTATCGACTCCTGCTGGTGGACTGGCATCTCCTCCGGGGAGAGCGGTCATGTGATCTCAGCCCCTGTGCTTCTGGGATAGGTTCAGCCTTGCCAAGACTCATCAGGGTAGGAACCTAGCTAATTGTGGGTGGATAGATGTACTTGTATTTCATTTCCCAGGATTAAAACCTTCAAGAACTGTGCAGATTAATGAGATATTCAGCACTTCTTAAAAACATTCTTAAATAACTCTGTATGTTTATTATTTTATTACGTAGGCTTGTCCTGGAAACCTAGACCCCTCACTGTTTTGTAGGTGTTCCTTGGTACAGCAATAACGGCACACCTGGACCAAATTCACTTTGACCAGTTAAGCATGTGATTTATTCAAGTACATCTCAGATCGTTTGAAAAGAAAATGCGAACGACCTTCTGTAATTGAAAGGACTGACTTCCTAAATAAATCAAAAATCAATATAAGCTGATGAAGGCTTTTCTGTTGATAAGGCCTGCAGGCTTCTTCCCTCTTGCAGAGTACTGTTGTCAAGCAGGTGCTCAGAATTGGATCTAATCACTAGATTTCCTGCTTATGCTGTCTTAAAATAGTTCTTCCTGTTTCTCTTTCTCTCAGTGCTCAACATCACTGCAAGCCGAGCTCAAAATAAGCAATAACCCAACTTCCAGCTACAGCGGTTGTTACAGAAATCCTGTTACGTAAGCCCTGTGTTCTCTACAGCGCTGTGGCACTCCCAGATCCCAGGCCCTTGAGATTATGAAAGTCTTAACAACGAAAACACTCTCATTGTCAAATCAATCAGTCATGTTCTCCTGATTCAACATGCAAAAGATGGCATGGAGCACTTTATTTTTCAGGATTATTCGTTGCTTTTTGATTTTGTGTACACACTGTTAAGTACATTTAAACGTTTTTAAAGGCTGCAAAAGACTGGTCTCAAGATTTTAATTAGCCTGTACCATTTCAAAAGCTATGTGTCCAACAATTTCTGCTTCTTTTACTGTACTTTATCTAT